CACACATACATACATACATACATACATACATACATACATACATATATACATACATACATACATACATACATACATACACACATGCATACACACACACACACACACACACACACACACACACACACACACACATACACACACACGCATACATACATACATGTATACATTCACACAACAGACTACCTCAGTTGGTGTTGGTTTTTTTCCAAGAAATTCTCAACAGTCTCCAAAGAAAGTAAATTTCTGTTGCTTCTATTTTATTTTAACTACCGGTAGTTTTAGTCATTGTTCAGCATTAACAGCCGTACAGAAGCGTTGACCACACAAAGCCTTTTAGATCTATAGACCTACTTTTTAAAAAGGTTGGTGGCCATCGAGGTGTTTCTATTTTTTTAAAGGATTGGGCTTATTTTATTGAAAGTACGAAGTCTGTCTCAGAATAAAGTTTCCATCCTCAATAAAACTCAAAGTACGCCACCAACAGCCACTAAAGTTTGTGAGGTCATGACACCATGACTAAGAAATCTCAACGCCAAATTGCAAGTGCATTGATGAACGGGTGGTCATAGAGCTGTGACGTGTCAAGGGTGGTGTACTTCTGCACTTTGTCCAAGGCAAATCCGAGGAAAATGGCTGAGCAAAACATTGGTGCAACTGTCTCATGCTACGATGTCTGGGTTGTAATCAAATTTTCGACTCTTCTCGGCAAGTCTGCAGTTGAAACCCATGGTGATCTTTACAAACTAACAGGGAATTAATAATGCCCCACCAATTCAAACAGTAAGGAAATGGATCAGGAAGGTTGAAGGTGGGAGGTCTGACACGAAAGATGAAGTGCACACAGAAAACATGGGGAGAGACAGGTGATGCACATTGGGTTTTTTTCGACATGAGTGGCATCATACTGAGCTGGCTAGTCACACCTGGCGTAACTGTCAATGGTGACTACTACAGGTTTGTCCTCAAAGACAAACTGAGACCTGCCATCCAGAAAAAAAGACCCGCTTTGCTTGAAGAAAGCGTCATCCAGCATCATTACAACGCGCCTGTTCACAAGTCCAGAGTTGTGAACGAGTTTTTTTAGGGCTACTCGTGGGAATCAATGGTGCACCCGCCCAATTCGCCTGATCTCGCCCCGTGCAACTTCCACCTCTTCCCCAAGGTGAAAAAGATGCTGAGAGGTTGGCGATTGGAGGACGAGGACAAGATTCAAGAGGCTATGAGAAGAGCACTCGGGACCTTGGACAAACGATCACTGACCACTGTCTTTGACCGCTGGGAACATCAAATGGAGAAATGTCTTGAACTTGATGGTTCCTACGTTGAATAGGTATTTGAATCAAGCTTTCTGTTGATACCAAATACAAAGTGATTCATAATTATATGTGAGGACAGCATGACAGGGAAACTTTATTCTGAGACACACCTCGTACCTTTAACCATAGCAATTCTTCGTTTCATTTCTGTGGGCCATTTGGCATCAGATGTAGTTATATAGATGTTTCAACAGTTAAACAGTTATTCATCTTTGTAATCACATATTCATATATATAAATATTTAAACGAAAACCTTGATGTGTACGCCACTCTGTCCGCCTCTGCCCCCTCCCGCCCCCCTCCCTGCTCTCTCTCTCTCTCTCTCTCTCTCTCTCTCTCTCTCTCTCTCTCTCTCTCTCCCTCTCCCATCTATCCCCCTCTCTCCCCCTGTTTCTCTTTCTCTTTAGTCTCTCCCGCCCCTCCCTTCTCTATCTCTCTCAATCTCTTTCACTCGCTATGTATTAAACATCCCTTTTCCTCCTCACTCACCCTTCCCCTCTAAACACAATAATCCGACGTACCCATCTCTTGCGCATGTCGCCCCTTGAGTTCATCCAAAGCCTCCTGTCTCTGTCGTTTCTCCAGCTGGGAGGCGTTGTCAAGCGCGGCTCTGTGGGCAGCCATCTGACCCTGCAGCTCCTCCAGGTGCTTGGTGTGAAGCGTCTTCTCTTGGTCCTGGCAGGCCGGGAGAAACAGTCGTAGTTTAATAATAACCATACTAATGATAATAACAACAACAACAACAATAATAATAATAATAATAATAATAATAATAATAATAATAATAATAATAATAAAAATAATAATAATAATAATAATAATTATTATTATTATTATTATTATTATTATTATTATTATAACAATTATAATATTTCTTCCTTGTTCTCGACAACAGCAGCTAGACAGTCAGTCCGATGTCGCGCACAAACTGTGCAGTCCGCTTCAAAGCTGTCTCTCAAGAGAAGTCACATTCTGCCACGTCTGTGTACGAAGGGTGCCGTAGCACGGGCAGTGCTGAAGGATGATATCTTGGTAATAATAATAATAATAATAATAATAATAATAATAATAATAAGAAGAAGAAGAAGAAGAAGAAGAAGAAGAAGAAGAAGAAGAAGAAGAAGAAGAAGAAGAAGAAGAAGAAGAAGAAGAAGAAGAAGAAGAAAAAGAAGAAGAAGAAGAAGAAGAAGAAGAAGAAGAAGAAGAAGAAGAAGAAGAATCTATACAGTATTATACTTGAGAAGGTTCGTCACTTTGGTCGCTAAAAACTTTCCAACAACTGAGCTTTCAAATTTGACAAAATTAACGGTGGTTCAGAATCATTTAAAGGGTGCACAGTTTTATTGATGAGCCTGAAGTCACTGTAGTCTAATTTTCAGTTTTTCATTAGTTTCGTTTAGATCTAATCTTGGGAAAGTCCGTCTTCTAAGAAGCCATTGTAAACAAGTGAGGTTTGAGTTCAATAGCCGTGCGCACTGTTTCTACACCTTTGAATTTATGGAGAGTACAACAACGAAAGCGGAATAGAGAATCAATCTATGCATCACTAGATCTATATCTAAACCTTTTTTTTTTGCATCTCTCAGGATTTATTGCTCCATTCCAGCAGAGTGTAAATATAGTAGGCCAATGACTTTCAGTCGACGGTCATGCTCACATCATTCCTTTCGTCGAAAGGAGGTCCAGATAGTAGTAATAACAATAATAATAATAATGCTACTATTAATAATGCAGATTAGATCTACTTCTATAACACGGAATCCCTGATGGCTCTGGACGCTTCATTATAGTGAGGCATCGTAGAGAAATCAGGCGCTCGTCAAAATAACGAAATCAAAGAATAAGTCATTTTTCCACCAGTAGGCAATTTTTACCGATATTTTGTATTTTGGCTAAACACCTTTAATGTTCATTTGAACAAACATTTTCATGCGAATTTTACGGAAAAATCTTGATTAAAGGCACCAAATTAGGTAATTTTCAGTTTTCAAGGACTCTTAAGCTATTGAAGTTACTAAACTTAGGCGGCTATTTTCTCATTAATTTAACCACTAAAACCAGGCTACCCCAACTTCTTCAATAGCAAATACCTCGACCTCTATTTAAGCTAGATGGATATTTTTTTCATTGAAAGCAATGCAAATAAATAGACTTTCAGAGGATACCAATAACTCAACATGTTAAGAAAGTGACGAGCGCCTGATTCCACCCCTGATTACTTTAAACCAACGTTTTTTATGCATTCTGGCCCATTCAACGAACACCGCCCCTTTTAAAAACAAAATATTATTAAACACGTAATTTGATGAAGAACAGACATGCACGGAAAAAATCACTATGGCTACAGCCCAAGTTGGAAGAAGAATGGAACTAGTTAGTTTACTGTTCAGGATTTAGTTTTAGTGAGAGTTGTACGACACTTGCAGTACAAAGTCACAGAAGTGCCAAAGATTACAGGCGTTACTAGAGGTAACGCAAAAGGAACGAATGGAGGAGAGATATGGACGAAGGACGTTTGATGGGACTGAAAGAACTCACTACCCCTGAGCACTTATCACTTATCAATCACACACACTGTTTATATTATTTAATATGTGGGTAGGTTGGTTGAACCACATACATATATATGTTTAGACAGATGGATAGATAGACAGATAGATAGACAGACAGATAGATAGATAGATAGATAGATAGATAGATAGAAAGATAGACAGATAGACAGACAGACAGACAGACAGACAGACAGACAGACAGACAGACAGACAGACAGACAAATAGATAGATAGATAGATAGATAGATAGATAGATAGATAGATAGACAGAGTTAGTTTTAGTAGAAGTTTTACGGCGCTCGCAACTGCATAAGGTCATATGAGCGCCAGAAGATTTGAGCTGTTACAAGAGAGTAACAAACATAAAAAAAGAAGAAGGGGAGATAAGGACGATAGATGTTTGACAGGAAAGACGAAGCAAACCACACCAGAGCGCCCGCCAACCACTCACAGATAGACAGATAGATAGATAGATAGATAGATAGATAGATAGATAGATAGATAGATAGATAGATAGATAGATAGATAGATAGATAGATAGATAGAACAGATAGATAGATACATAGGTGGATAGACAGATATATAGATAGAACAGATATATAGATACATAGGTGGATAGACAGATAGATAGATCGTTTTTTTTGTTGAGAATATTGCAGTATCTCACAATATTACAATGAAAACAGATTCTCTTCAGAAATGTGCCATAAAACTTTGCCGAGTGCCAGCTTAAACCAGCAGGATATAATTGCATCATTATTGCAGTAAGTCACCTCAAAACATTTTATCTAAGGAAAATGTACGTCAAAACGTCGCATGTTTTATTACACAAAATGAAGTACTTTTTTACTTAAAATTTGATTCAATTTATGAAATCAGCGCCGAAAATTAAGAAAATTTCGTTTTTTTGGAAGCGACATAATAATTATTAACATTTTGGTCGGATGAGGAAGATATTCACGATAGATAGCGAGTGCATCACGGACAACTAGATTTTCTAGATCTAAGTAACTTCTTAGTAACAAAAAATATTCGAAAGAAAAATATATGTGGAGAACACATTCCAAAATAAAACACAGCCTTGGTTTAGGTAAAATTGGCAATAAACAACCAGGGAATTCGGAACACCTGTCACCAGTAATGTTGTCGCAACAGGCGAGTAAACAGGTTCCACCTGCAAGCCTACAGTATGTACTGTTCACAGCTGCGATTTCCCCCAAAACATTATCAATTTGAGAACATACGAAAACAAAAAAATCAAGGACACGTGAGACGTTTCCAGACACAAAACATTTAATGTTTTGCTTATGCAGCAATATTTTGAAAACTAACATTCTGTCACGTGTTGATAAATAAATGTAAACCACCATTAACAGAAAAATACCGAAACTGACCGGTTTGGACAATGAATTGGATTTCCAACGCTGTTTGCCCACTATTGCATACAAAAACCTTCACAAAAAAGACTCCTTCAAGTATTTTTGCTCCAGAAATTAAAGTTTTAATGCACTTGCAACACAATTTGGTCATATAAGTAAGTGACAAATATTAGAGGAGTTAGAATAGACTAACAAACACAAAACAGGAGGAGAGATAATGGTGACAGATTTTTGTAAAATAGGAAATAAGGAGCAAACCCCACCAGGGCACCTGCTAACAACCCACTCTTCAAGTATCAGTTATCACAAAAACATATAACAAAAACGAAACGTTTGTCAGCTGAGAGCCCAAAGTGCCTTCGTTTATTTGTGCTAGACATCCCAAAATAGCAAAACTGAGGTAGCATTCAAATGACTCCCTATTTGGCTTGCAAAGAACCCCTCCCCAACCCCCCCACCACCAACCCCCCCCCCCCCCACACAAAAACCCCCAATGTGCCCAGTAGTTTTTTTCTAAATTCTTCATTCTCGGTTTTTCTTGGTATTATCGGAAAACAGAAGCTCTTTTTTTCTCCTCAAAACACGGAAATTGGGCATAAATATCCTCTATCTATCTCAATGTTAACAACACTATTCTGTAAGCAGCACGAGTATCGATATTCAGCGATTTGAATAAAGTACGTCAATACGAATCATAATATTATAACACTATTAAAAGTCTTTATAAAAATATAGGAACATAATTTTTTTTTGGTGAAACAAAGGCGGAAAGATAGAAATAGATAGATAGATAGATAGATAGACAGATAGACAGATAGATAGATAGATAGATAGATAGATAGATAGATAGATAGATAGATAGATAGATGGATGGAGGGGGGCACAGAAATACATACATATAGACAGACAGACAGAAGGATTGCTCAGGAGCGCTGGTGAACAAGGGGATGGGATGTAACGAGGTCGAGAGCAGTAGAGAGAGATACAGAGGGAGGAAGACAGAGAGAGAATAGGAGAGATGGGGAGGGGGGGGGAGACAGGGGGGGGGAGACAGGGGGGGGGGGGGAAGGGAGAACGGTGGTACACTAAAAGGCAGACTGAAGGAAATAGCAGACAAAGAAAGGTACTAACAAGGAAGCTTTATGCAAGGGCAATTAGACTCGTAACCTACAAGAGATGGAACAGAGGGAAAGAAATGAATAAAACAAAAATAATAAAGGCGGATAGAAAAACAAAAGAGAAATCTTTACAGTCAAAGAAAAGGGCGAGGCAGAGAAATAATGACCCACAAGATTTCCAGCTGTACACTTCATCATGATTTTCTTATTTACTTCGTCTTTTTTTTATATATAATTTTTTTTTTTTTTGGGGGGGGGGGGACGTGAGACAGAAACAGGATGAAGGGAAAAGACATTAACTAATCGAATCCCTTAAATCATTCTTTGCCTTCATAAAACATTAACAAACACAAATCTACGAATACCAGGAATTATGTCTCCCCCCCCCCACCCCCCCCTCATTTTTTTCTCTGATGTTTTTTGTTTGTTTTGATTTCTCTTTGTTGGAATATTAAAAATAAACAGAAGAAAGAAGAAACCAATGATGATTCGGATACAAAATGTAGGAGTCCTACTTGTTCAAGATCCATTTACATCACTAGAAACAAAAACATAATATATAATATAATCCAGTCGAAATTGTCCAATATAAATACCCATAGTGGAGGAGAAAAGTGGTTGTCTCA